GAGACCCGATGTGAAGAGGCCGCCATGGAGACCCGAGTGCAGGCAAGGCACCCGCGGGACGCCTCCCTCTGACCACCATGGCCCCAGTGCTTCCCGAGCGGCCCTCGAAACTCAAGGCAAACTTTATCCAATCCAGAAACAAAATTTCATGGTGAAAGCCGAGTCGCTCGAAGGCAAACTTGAGGAGAGAGGAAAAAAAAAGAAAGGGGGGCATTACTATGAAATCCTCTCGCGACATCGGGAAGAGGCAGACGCGCCGCCCAGGGAACAGATGGGAGGCTGTGTGTGAGTAAGAGCGCCCCCCCCCCCCCATAAACCACCTGAGGATCCCGTCACCGTCAGGATGGTGGACCTGGGCGGGTATGTCATCATTCTGGTGGAGACGAAGGACAAGAAGATCAAACTCTATGGTGAGTATGGTGTGTTTGTTTACCTGGGTCGTGTTTTAGATTTAGACGTCGAGGAGAGTGTGAAAGGTGAAGAATTTGATCATCTGAATGGTTCTTTCTTTCTTAAAAGCGAGAGAAAGTAAAAGAAAGGTAGAGTAAATACACAAACGTAACACTTAACACAAAAAGAAGTGAATTGGCTCTTTGATAACGTAGAGTAAGATGCAGCGAGTACATAAAGCACAACACGAGAGGAAGTTAGTTTACTCTCAGCTTACGTAAAAACAAAAAAAAAAATGCCGTAAACACACAAACACAACACCCGAGGAAGTGAATTGGTTCTTAGAAAGCAAACAAACAAACCGAAAAAAGGATCCAGCGAGTACACAAACACCACATAAACCACACTTTCCTCGCGTGATTACTTGGGAAACAGCCAGAGAAAGAGAAAAGAAAGGAAACAGTGCCAAAGGATACTAGACCTACTGTAGCATCCTCATCCCATCACAGGCGAGCGGAGGGTCCTTCGCTGACGGAATCAGCTGCAGAGATCGATTGTGTTCGGCTCGGGGGCTACGTGGTGTTCTGACGGAATAGGATTTGAGCTGACGGAGAAGGTTTAAGAATGACGGAAGGGGGTTGAGCTGACGGAGAAGGTTTAAGAATGACGGAAGGGGGGTTGAGCTGACGGAGAAGGTTTAAGAATGACGGAAGGGGGTTTTGAGCTGACGGGAGGAGGGCTGAGCTGACGGAATAGGTTGAGCTGACGGAGAAGGTTTAAGAATGACGGAATTGAGCTGACGGAAGGGGGTGAGCTGACGGAGAAGGTTTAAGAATGACGGGAAGGGGTTGAGCTGACCGGGAGGATTTGAGCTGACGGAGAAGGTTTAAGAATGACGGAAGGGGGTTGAGCTGACGGAATAGGATTTGAGCTGACGGAGAAGGTTTAAGAGTGACGGAAAGGGAGTTGACCTGACGAAGAGATCTCAGCTGACGGAGTGGTTTGTCCTGACGGAGGGAACTGACTTGACGCACAGGTGTAACAAAACCTCATTCGAAAATTCAACCTGACGGAGGGTTTGACCTTCTGAAAGCATCTGACATGATGTATGGGTTTGACCTGCCGGAGGGGCTTGACCTGACGGAGATCTGACCTGATGGGAACCCACTCCTTAGGTCTTTAATGTTTTTTTAATGGATTTATTAAGCATTTTGTGTGAGAGCATGTTATGCATATATAATTGTTTTGGGTTATATTTAAGTGGATGTATATGGAAATGTGAATATAAATGCTTGGCGTTGTTCATGTCAAAGCATAGTTATGAATATATATTTGTATCAGATATATCATGTGATTTATGGATCTCTCTTTCATTAACTCTCGCATTCTCTTTCTTCATCTCTCCAGCTATCTCTCTTATTCTCTCTCGTTCTCACTCTCTCTCTCTTTTGCATTCGGTTGCACTCTCTCTCTCTCTCTCTCTCTTCTCTCCCTCTCTCTCCCTCTCTCTCTCTCTCTCTCTCTCTCTCTCTCTCTCTTCTCTCTCTCTCTCTCTCTCTCTCTCTCTCTCTCTCTCTCTCTCTCTCTCTCTCTCTCTCTCTCTCTCTCTCCTCTCCCTCCCTCTCTCCCTCCCTCTCCTCCCTCTCTCCCCCTCCCCTCCTCTCTCTCCTCCCTCCTCCCTCCTCCTCTTCCTCCCTCCCTCCCTCCCTCCCTCCTCTCCCTCCTTCCTCCCCTCCCTCCCCTCCCCTTCCCTCCCTCTTTCCCTCTCCCTCCCTCCCTCCCTCCCTCTCTCCTTCCTCCTTTCCTCCCTCTCACTCTCCCGTCCTCCTCCCCTCTCTCTTTCCCCCCTTCCTCCCTCACTCCCCCAGCTTACCATTTCCAAAATTCACGTATAACTCATTTCATTTCCCATTTTCTATAATCGAAAGCCATTCTGGGTTTGGCGAATAACTTTTTTTTTGCGACGCCAATCTTCGCTTATGTTTAGGTATAATCTTCTCTTTCTTATTTTGCTTATCTTTATTATTGTACATTACTAACTTTCATTTGATTTTTTAAAAGGAGGGCTGGTAGTAATGTGTCCTTAAAAAAATAAACAAGCATGTATTTTCTGTTGACACTGATTGATGCTTAAGATGCCAAATGCCTTTGACATGACCACTGAGATGCCTCTGACATGACTACGCTTTCATTGCTTCGACATGTCATTCTGAGGCTCATATATCCTTCGAGAGGGTACTTTAAGACGCTTACTTTTTTACTGGAATCGATTACTTGGACTTGTCACTGGAAAGACTCGTATGGTACAACTCGTGGGATTTAGCCTTTCTCGAGCCCCTTAAAGTCTTCTTGGCAGGACACGGAAGTTATTAGAGGAATGTGGAAAGGTATGGATGAGAACGAATATCTTACACAATACGAGGGATGTATTTCTGATGAAGATATAATCGAAACCTGGTGAAATACATCTCTTGTATTGTGAAGATATTCGTTCGCATTCATACCTTTCCATATCTGTCAACATGAGTACGGTTCATTGTTAGAGGAACACGTTGTCAACACGTTAGGATCGGATATGCGTTGGTGGAAGGTATTTCTTTTGGAAAAATGAGGTTTTGGATTCGAATACGTCATGTGATGATCATTAGGTGATGTCTTAAACGGAGGATTTTAAAAATGAGGTTTTGGATTCAGATGTATGTTGATGACTCATTTAGGGTGTCTTAAACGGAGGGTGATAAAGAGTATATAACTACTAATTACTACTCATTCTATTACTGATCATTTTTCCTCTAACTTAACACCAACAGACACAAAACATATCGTCGAGAAATTAACCACGAACACATACACACATCTGTCATTCCAACACGTTGCTACTCCACTTAGAGGTCGATACGTACCACACTCCCCAGGGGCAACGACTATGACCCTGCCCCCCCCCCCCCCCTCCACCCCGCCCCCCCACCCCACCCCGTCCTCTGAAAGTGGTCCCCGCAGGAGGCAGCGACGAGAAGAAGAAGAAGAGGAAAGAAATCATCCACGGGGGTCAAGGGGAATCTGGCGGCCAACTAAGACACACAGCAAACCTTCTTACTTCAGATTTCCGCTGATGCATCGATTTTTTAAAGTTCTGTTTCTGATAAGGCGGAAGGGCGCCGCTCCCCCGGCCTACGGGGCGAGGCCCTTTATGCTGGCGTGATGGCGCTGGCTCAGTTGGGGGGAGGGCGTGGGGGATGCTGAGAATGATGGTTATGGAAGGTGAATTTAATAAATGCGTGCGCCCGCACACGCAAACAAGCATATACGCGCTCGCGCGCACTCATAGACAAAAACAGCAACATATATATATATATATAATATATATATATATATATTATATATATATATTATATTTATATATTATTTATTTACACACACACACACACACACACACACACACACACACACACACACACACACACACACACACACACACACACACACACACACACACACACACACACACACACACAACACACACAACACACACACACACACATACACACACACCATATATTATATATATATATATATATATATATATATATATGTATATATATATATATATATATATATTTTATATATATTATATGTATATATAGTTAGATAGATAGATAGATATATGTATATATATATAAATATAATATATTATATATATATATATATATATATATATATATATATATATATATATATATATATATATACTATATATGTATTACATATATAATATATATATGTATATATATAATGTATGTATATGATATATGTATATAATATATATATATATATATATATATATATATATATATATATTATATATATTATATATATATATTACCGGCTATTTTTTTATCAGTACTATTTTTTCAATTCTTATAAAGTACTTTTTCAAAGTGATCATTGACACAAGTGTGTGTGTTTATGGTTATTAAAAGGAACTGGATAAATACAGAGATGGCAGACAGGCAAACAGACAGTCAGGACAAAACAAAGACAGGACAGACACAAAACAATAGCATCAACATACAGATGCCCAAGCGAGCCAACAAAAAACGAAAAACAATAGACAGAAAGAAAAGCGGGGCGTGAGCTCGGGATACTCTGCCTCTTTGTGTTGCGACTGGTGGCCCATAAGAGCTATGTGTGAGCTTTCAGGAATGTACATCCAGTCCGCGTTGTGGTGTTGTGTGTTGTGGGTATGGATTGGGGGGGGCTGGTGTGGGTTTGGGTTGGGTGGATGTATGTGGAGTTGTGGGTATGTGGTGGTTGGGTGGATGATATGTTGGTGTGTGTGGTGTTGGGTGTGGTGGTGTATGGGGGTGATGGGGTAGTGTGGTGTGGCTGTGTTGGGTTGGTGGCTGGGTTGTGACTATTGTGGGCGTGGTGATGTGGGTGGTATGTGTTGTGTGGGTATGTGTGTAGTGTGGTGTGTGGTGTGTGATGTTGTGGGTGTTGTGTTATTGTGTGTTGTGTGTGTTGTGTGTGGTGTGTGTGTGTTGTTGTGTAGTGTGTGTGTTTGTGTGTGTGTGTGTGTGTGTGTGTGTGTGTGTGTTATGTGGGTGTGGTGTGTGTGTGGTATATGTGTGTGTTTGTGTGTGTGTGTGTGTTGTGTGTGTGTGTGTGTGTATGTGTGGTGTTGCGCGTGTGTGGGTGTGTGTGTGGTGTGTGTGTGTGTGTGTGTGTGTGTGTGTGTGTGTGTGTGTGTGTGTGTGTGGTGTGTTTGTGTGTGCGTCGTGGAACCGGCGTGAGGGAGCGAGCTGCAGGGAAATTCGGATGCATTAGTCAGGGCTGAATTGCATTTCTGATTTAGTAAGCATGTATATGTATTTGTTAATGTGTGTGTATAAAAATATACATATATATTTGGTATATATAATATATATATATATATATATATATATATATATATATATGCATACATATATATATATATATATAATATATATATAACATATAATATACATATATATATTTA